TACTCTGTCCATATCTAATCCACCAGAGATGATCTAACGCTCGACCTGAAATTGGTTCTACACACTGATTATATTGTCTTAAATTTTCTAAACGACCACATCTTATACAATCACCGAGACACTTTGATCTTCAGCATTTAGCAAATGTACTTGTTCCACATAGGGGGCGTGATTGGCTTTCAAAAATTTCTAAGTTTCTGACTTTTCTAGCTTTTTGCATGATCAATACATGTATATCTTTTGGAAGATCATGTAGTATAATTAAACTTAACCAAAATAGTTTTTCGTCCATTATACAAAAAAATGATTTTATTTTATTTTTCAAATTGACTTACTATCTGGTTCTTTAACGTCTGCTAATCACAAAGACAATTTTTTTATATATATATATAGAACTTAATATACTAAACACAAATATAACTATATTCACACCTAAGTAAGTTTACACATAAATTAAATTTTACCCATACCTACCCAACTTAAATTAGACATTGTCTACAATGTATAAAACAGTGATAATCAATACTGATAATAAAAACCAACAATTTGTTGTCTTTCAACGATTGGGATATCTAGTTGTTACTCAGGAGATTTAATTTTTCAAATAAATTACAACTAATTAGTAATATTATTGAGAATTAAACAACAATATACTTTTTAGAGCACATAAACAGGATCAAAAAGTTGTACATAAGTCATATCTTGAGTAAAACCATCATAATATGATTTAAGCCTTTGACTGTTTACTTTAAAGACATTTTAGGTTAATGAATTTTTAATTTCAATTGTTCCATAGTCAAAAACTTGCTTGATAATATAAGGACCTGTCCATCTAGATCTTAATTTTTCAGGAAATAACCAAAGCTTTGCATTATACAAGAGAACATTTCGAGATGGTTTAAATGATTTCCACATTATATTTTTATCATGAAAAATTTTTGTTCTTGACTTCGCAATCTTTGCATTTTCATAAGCTTCATTTCTTAATTCCTCCAATTCATTAATTTGAAGTTTGCGAGATATTACAGCTTTGTCCATATCAAAAATTATTATTTTGATTACCCAATATGCTCGATGTTCTAATTCCACAGGCAAGAGACTTGGTTTTCCATAAACTAACCGATACAGAGACATTCCTAAAATAGTTTTATACGCAGTACGATAAGCCCAAAACGCATAAGTCAATCTTAAGGACCAATCTTTACGATCTGGATTCACTATTTTTTTTAAGATATATTTTATCTCCCTATTAGGTAATTCAGCTTGTCCACTTGTATGTGGATGACACGGAGTGCATATTTTATGTGAAATCGAGTATTTTTTCATAAGATTTTCAAAATATTTATTACAAAAATGTAATCCACCATCACTTATAATGGTCCTAGGAATTCCAAATCTAGAAAAAATATTCTCTTTTAAAAACTTAATCATTGTTCTGTGGTCATTATTTATACATGGAATTACCTCTACCTATTTAGAGATATAGTCGACTGCAACAAAAGGTATAGATATCCAAAAGATGGGAAAAGTAGACCCATAAAATCGATGCCCCAACAATTTAAATAGGGTTTAAATACATCCTATTTCTTTTTGAAATATCTCCCAATCTTTGACATCTGTCACAATTTAAACAAAAGATATGAAAATCTTCAAATAGAGTTGACCAATAAAATCCACACTGCAAAATTTTAGCAACGGTTTTCTTTCAAGCAAAATGAACTCCACAAGCTTCAGAGTGACAAAATTGAATGACCTGACCTATTTCATGGTTAGGTACATAATGCCTTATTATTTGATCTTTACAATATTTAAACAAATAAGGATCTTCCCAAAAAAGTTACGTACCTCACTTAGAAATTTATTCTTATCAGACAAGGTATAATAAAAGGGAATAATACCAGTGACTAAATAATTAGCTATATCTGCATACCATGGTACTTCTATTATTATAAACAGTTGTTCATCTAGAAAGGTTTCTTTAATCGGAGTTGGTTCTTTCTTTATTTCATAATTTAGCCTTGACAAGTGATCTGCTACCACATTTTCTACTCCTTTCTTATCCTTAATGATATGATCAAATTCTTGAGGTAACAATATCTATCGTAATAGACGTGGTTTAGAATCTTTCTTAGTAAGCAAATATTTTAAAGTTGCATGATCTGTAAACACCACAATTGACGATCCAACCAGATATGAACAAAATTTATCTAAGGCAAATACAACAACAAGTAGTTATTTGTCTATAGTTGAATAGTTTATTTGTGTATCATTTAAAGTTTTGCTCGCATAGTAGATAACATACGGTTTTCTATCTTTTCTTTGACCTAATACTGCTCTTACTGCATCATCACTTGCATCACACATTAATTCAAAAGGTAAAGACCAATTAGGAGGTTGTATAATAGGTGCCAAAATATGCATGCTTTTTGTAAAATCCAAGTAAATTTGAACTTTTTCCAAAAAATGGCAAAACGATAATTTGCCACTATAATGTAGAATTAAAATCTATATTTTTCTAGAGCTCGGATGATGCAATGGACCTCACTGTTGGATTCGTATCTCGAAATCGAGCTACCCAATCAATTTTCTTCAAATTTTGAGATAGTCGGATTGTTTACATTTTATGAGACAACTGGATGTTGGGTGACCTCACAAATGTCCCCAAAATAAATTTTATAAAATTTTCTTATAATTGAAAGAAATTTCAAATAAAATTAATTTAAACTTAAATCGGGATGAAATTAATTCATTTCGGGACAAAAACGGACCAGTAAAATAAGAAACGTGCGGTGTAATGTGGACCGCACAATTAAAGGGTGTAAATAGGGAGAAATATCTAATTTTCTCCCTATTTTCATCCTACTTCACACGCTAGAAGAGAAAGAGAGAGAGGAGAGAAAAGAAAAAAATAAGATTTCTACCTTCTTTTTTCGATCTACAAAGTTCTGACGGTCGCAATCCCTCGGACCAAGACTTAAAGTCGATCATCTTGACGAGGGCTATACAGCCATACCAAGAACGAAAGATTTCACCGAAGATTCAAAGAGGGGATTTTGGAGAAATCAAGATTTTGGAGTAGTATTATGTTCTTGAAGGTTCTACACATTGTTTTACACTCAAGAGGTAGGGTTCCCTCCTACTTTGATTTATTTCTTACCTAGGATGTTCTATGAAATGGGTAAGTGTATAGAATAACATAGGTCCCTTGACTATGGTTCTGAAAATGAGGAAAAAGGGGTATGGAAATGGCTTAGACCAATTTCTAGTTAAGTTAGGTATAGGGAAATCTTGTGTGATAATATGATTTGTGCCTTGAAAGTGTTTTGCTAAATGTCTATGTGAGAATTAAGTTTATTTTGGCATGCTATGTGTTTATACAGTGCCTTGTGAATAAAGTATGTTATTGACATAAACTGTGTAATAACATGCTGGTGAATTATTGTTGGTGCATGTTGTTAATATATTAGCATCATGATAAATTGTGGTAATTATTTGCTTAAGATATATATTGCCATGGGATATGTTGACATGCGGTTTAAATTGCTCATTTTGCACTCATTGCATTTTAGGCATAAAGTTGGCATCACATTCATGGGCATTATGCATGGATGTGGGTGTGTGTGTATAGGGTGTAATCAAACGCCATACTTGGTGATTGATGGTGGGCTCAGAAAAGTTGTATTGAAAATCCGACTGAGTCGCGTGGTTGCATAAAAAACTTGTGTCGGGTATAGCAAGTAGGGATAGATCCCCCCCTGGATGCACTTGGTTTTTAGTACTTTTGGATATTTTTATGTTTTCAATTTGATGTTTATTAGATAGAATTGAATATTCCACTCATGAGTTCTTCACCAAGTTCTTCCTTAATACCTCCAAAGCCAACAGATTTATAGCCGGCAAATCAATCACAACCTCAACAAACCTTTGCATCACTCTTTAAATAGCCTGTTAATCCTTTTCATATGCAAGAATCTATCCCCAAGATCAAAAAACCAGTTGTATTTTATGAAGGAGAATCGGCCTTCTACTTCACCAATGAAGAAGTCAAGCAGTCTTGCTCATCTTTGTAGTATGAATTGACAGGTAAATGTGCCTATAGACGTCTAAGTTTGGGAGGGATAAGAGAAGTTATTCGTTCAAAATGGGATTTGAAAGGAGAGTTTGAGATAGGGTCAATGGATCCTAGATATATTTTAATAAGGTTCGAAAAACATGAAGACTATGTAAAAATTTGGTTGAAAGATGCAACCATGATTGAAGACTACCTGTTCAGATTTTTCAAATGGTTCTCTGCATTTGTTCCTGGCATAGAGCCTTCCATTGTGCCCATGTGGATATCTTTACCAAGGTTACCATTGAGTTTTTTCAAAAAGCAGTATTTGGAGTTGCTGGTAAAGCCTATTGGTAAAGTTTTAGCCTATGATCAATCCACGTTATCTTTGGCTAGACCAGGAGTAGCTAGAGTCTGCATTGAAGTAAATCTCTTGGCAAAAAATCCATCCAGAATTTGGTTGGATATGGGAGACGAAGATGCAAGATGGCAACAGATAGCATATGAAAAAACTAAGAAATATTGCAATTCCTGTAGAAAGCAAGGGCCAATAGAAGACGATTGCAGGAAAGAGAAACTATTTAAGTCAGAGAACTTGCCAGGAAAGGATCCATTTGATACTAAAGATTCGCAAGGAAAAGATCCAGCAGAATCCGTGACCTTACAAGGTAATAACCAATCAAATAGCATAAATTTAGCAATAGTAAAAGGAAAGAATATTGAACAAACGGATAACTCCAAGGAGCAAAACAAAGAAAGTCTAACTCACAAGCAATCAAGACCGGCATTCAAGGCTCAGAAGCATGAGGTAGTTTGGAAACAAAATAATAATGGGTATACTATAGTTGGTAACCCCGATTCCAAAATAGCAACCCCGGATGTGCAAAATCAAGAAGAATAGGATATCCAAATTCTCAACATGGAAAATTCAGTAAAAGATTTACGATCCATGGAAAAGGGTGATCACTCAAGCAAAGACTGTGTGCATGTTTTGGAGACTTCGGGTGAGGGTATAGCCCAAGGAGAACAGGCCCTTTCTCTTGTTTTTGATTGTAGCGTTCAGCATTTGGTAAATGATGCAGAGGCAGTAAATGCAAATGAAGAGCCTACTGCTCCAAAAACCATGGTTCCAATGGATGTAGAGAATGTAAATGCAAATGAGTATGAAGGTATAATAAATGATGCAGCTGCTCAAGCTACTGTTCATGTAGCAGAAAAAGAGGCTGCAATTTTAGCAATAATGTTGTAGGAGTCTTACAAGGATCATATTCCTTCTCCAAACAACATGGGTTCTTTAATTCTTGATGATAGAAAGGTGCCGCCTAACACAACTACAAGAACAGTCTCTTTCAATTTGATTAATTTGAATCATGAGGATGGTGAGATTTCCAATTCAAATGATGATCCTAAGTATGGTATTGAAGATTCTTTGGAAGAGGTTCCCATTGTTTATGGTTTATGTGTTCTAAATAAGCATGATTATGATTCTTTGTACAAGCCAATGCTTGTTACCAAGTAGATGGTGGAGGCAGTTCACCAGCGTGTCCACAGTCAAGAGGAGTTCATTCCAACAATGTCCAGGGAAGAGATTCATCAAGCATTGAAATTAAATGGCACTTTCTCTACGGATGACTATGCCAAAGAACCTATTGTTCATAAAAACACAAAAGGCTTTTTCTCTAATGGAGAGGCGGATGTTTTAGAGCCAATTATAGATTATAAATATTTTATGGCTACGTCCAAGGAATTACTGAGAAAGCTCAATAATACTGAGAAGAAAAGGAAACAAAAAGAGGATAAGCTAGCTGCATTGGCGATGGCTTTGAGCAATGTTTCATCAAGGGAAGATTCTACAAGGATGACTAGGTCCAAATCCAAATCCATACTACCATTCAAAATCACAAAGCAAAATAATAAATATGGTTTTAGGCATTAATGGTTTCTGGTTTAGGTCTATTCTCAGTTGGAGTTTCTCTACTTTGACTGGAGTGGGCTACTTTACAGTTTTTCTTCTAGTACAGCTGGAGTGCTACTGCTCTTCAGCAACTGCACTCAAAGAGTTTTGCCTTTTTCAGAAATTCAACAAAAGATCACATGCTTGTGATAGACTCCAACGTTGGGAAGGTAAGTGGTGGGCCAGTCAATTAGAGACTTTGGTCTTGAAAGGAAAGACATATAGAAAATTCAAGCAAGATTCTTTTGAAAAGTAATTCGCTTGAGTTGCCATGGATCCACCATGTGGAAGTAATTTCTAAAGGAGTTATGCGCATCAAGAATATGATGGAAATGTAATTGCATTTAACGTAAACTTTTAAATGTCTCTTATTATGTAAGGGGCACGGTTTATGTCTTCCCCTAATTTCTTGATAATATAATTTTGTCCTCCCCTAATTTCTTTATAATTTTGTTATTAATAAATTTTTCCCTACATGGGTTTAACTTAAAAAAAAAAAAAAGACAGATCCCCCCTCGGGTGCAAGACCCTGCTACCTGGTTCATAAACTCCCCTGAGGTGAAATTTCAGAAAAGTGTATTGGTTTGTCAAACCTGCTGTGTGATACCAAAACTCCGCTACCCAATAAAGACACATGATTTTTTTTTATAAAATACCTAGTTCGTGCACTCCCCTGAGGTGAAATTTCAGAAAAGTGTACTTGTAATTTTTTACAAATGGTCATTCGATGTGTATCATCCAACAAAATTTGGTTTTATAAACACATGACCTTTATTTCAAAATGATAATTGGATGAAATTCATCAATGATAGATTTGCTACACATTAATATTGTATTGTGTTGCGGGAGTCGGTGAGGACTCGGATTAAGGTGCATGAGTGAGTATTACCTCATATCATGACATGACATGGTAGAAATTTTCGTCTCGAATGACATGTCCTAGTATGGAATGGATTATGATTGTTGATTGTTATATGTGCACATTTCATATGAATCTAGGGGGGAGTAGCCTCTGTAGAAGATACTCTATTGAGTGTAGCTCACCCTATCCGGAAAAACGTTTCAAGTGCGAGGTTCACACCGACGAAGGACTCTCATTTCGAGCCTCAAAAATGAAGAGAGTCAACTTGTGGCTTTTGATAGCTCATTTTGTATAAATTTTGTGAAAATTATATTTTTGGGCATGTAATCATATGGAATTATCGGTAATAGAACTCGTATATAATAAATTTTACGTGAAAAACCTTATTAAGCATGTTTTGGATGGTATTAGAATAGATTGGAATGGATTGGAAATGAAAAGTAGGTGAAATAGGCAAAAGTGGGCAAACAGTACCGGTACTGAGTACCGGTACGACGAGGTCCAAAGGGTTACCCATACCGATACAAATTTTCCAGTGAGTTAACAGTACCGGTATAGCCTTGTCCAGAAGGTAGAGCATACCTGTACGGATTTTTCAGAAGGTTTATAGCACCGGTACTCTTTCCAAAATTTTGAAATTTTAAAATTACGTTGCCAAGTTTTTGGGATGTGGGTTCTTGGGTTCCAAGGATGTAAATGGACTATAATGGAGTATGAAATGTAATACATTGGATCACGATACAAATAAAGGATAAAATATACACGGGTTACACGTATGGGTTATAATCCCAGTTAAGGGAATGCTATTGACGTGTCACCCAGTTGTACAACAATCATGGGTATTTTTGCGGGTTGACGGATAGTCAACGGTTAATAAATGACCCCCGATTTTAGGGGCGTCACACTTTTTAATTTATCAAATGCTAATTGACATGCATCATTCCATTCAAAATAATGTTTCCTGACATAAAAGATTACATATAGGTTTAGATATTGAACTAAAAATTTGTATGGATCTTCTATAGAATCCTGCATGGCCTAGAAAAAAGAGAATATCTTTTACAGTTTTTGGGGAAGGCAGATTAGCTATCAGATCAATTTTAGATTTATCAACTTTGATCCCTTTTTTAGACACTATATGATCTAAAACAATACCTTGTGTAACCATAAAATGACATTTTTCTCAATTTAAGACAAGGTTTGTTTCTTCACATCGAATGAACACTTTTTTGAGATTTTCTAAACATAAATGAAATGAATCACCATATTGTGATGCCCCTAAAACCGGGGTCTTTTGTTAACCGTTGACCATCCGTCAACCCGTGGAAATATCCGTGATTGTCTCCCAATCCGACATTACGTCAATAGAATCCCTTTAACCGGGATCGTTATCCACATGTATAACACACGCATATTTTTCCATTTAACCCAACCGGGTCCAATATACCACAATTTATCCTTATTTTATCTCCACATATATCCTTGGAACCAAAGAACTCAAAGCCCAAAAAGCACGGCAAAACAGTTTTAAAATTTCAGATTTTTGGAGAACCCAAGTTGTGCCAACTAGAAAAGTCCTACCGGTAGGTCTTACCTGAAGCCAAATTCTGCCTATACGAGATCCTACCGATAGGTGTTGCCCACTGAACCACGTTCTACCGATAGGTCCTACTGGTTGGTCCTGCTCAGATTTGTCTATTTCCACGTTCTACCAATAGGTCCTACTGGTAGGTCCTGCCCAAATTTGTCTATTTCACCTATTTTCAATCTCCAATTCATTTCAAACCTACCCAAACTCATATAACACATAAGTACATCAAATACAGTTAAAACAATTCTATTACAATCATTTTCAAAAGATTGCTTATACAAAACATGATTTTACAATGTTTTACAAAAATACAGATCAAAGGCCACAAGTCGGCCTCTCTTCATCCTCGAGGCCCAGAATAAAAACCGTCCACCAGGGTGTATCCCCCACCTGAAATGTTTTCCCGTATAAGGTGAGCTACGCTCAATAGAGTATCTCCTACAAAGGCTACTCCCCAACCTAAGTGTATATGAAATGTGCACATGCAACAATCAACAACCATTATCCATTCCAATCAAGAATATACAATTCTATATTGGAATTCTACTATGTCATGCCATGAAATGAGATGAGACTCACCCATGCAATATACCTCGAGCCTTCACCGGCTCCTTTCTACCCATGCAATGCTACATGTATGAAAATCCAGGACAATTCCAAGCCCCTGTCATTGATGTTTCCCACCGAATGACTATTTTATAAAACAAATTCATGTGTCTTTATTTGGGTATCGAATTTTGGAATCACATCGCTGGCTTCGTACACCATTACACTTTTTCAAAATTTCATCATAGGGGAGTGTATGAACCAAGTGGCCGAGAGATTTCACCCGAGGGAGAATCTATCCCTTCTTGCTATGCCCAACACAAGTTTTTCATGCAACATGAAACTCGGCCAGATCTTCGATCCAACCTTCCTGAGTCCACTTATCAAGCACCAAGAGTAGTGTTTGATTAAACCATGTACACACACCCACACTCATGCCTAAAGCCCATGAATGAGATGCCAACTTTTATGCCCAAAATGTAATGAATGTCAAATGAGCAATATAAACATATATCATCATATTCCATGACAACATACATCATATGCATGTAATCACCAAAATCTATAACACCGTCAATTAATCACAAAGAATATATCAACAACAATATCACAAGCATGTTATATATCATTCATGCCATAACAAACTTAATTCTCACATAGGCATTTAGCAAACACCTTTAAGGCACCAATCATGTTATCACACAAAATTGCTCACATAATAACAAGTTCCAAGAAATTATACAAGTAATTTCCCTATACCAAATTCAGCTAGAAATTGGTCTAAGCCATTTCTATACTAATTTCCTCATCTCCATAACAATAGGCAATTTCTATACACCTAACCATTTCCTATGGACACCATTGGTTAGAAATAAACCAATATAGGAGGGAACCCTACCTCTCGAAGCGTAAAACGAAGTGTAGAGAACTTCTAGGACACAACCCTAACTCCAAACCCTTGATTTTCCAAAATCTCCTCATTGGATCTTCGGTGAAATCCTTTATTCTTGGTATGGTTGTGTAGCTCTCATCGAGGTGATCGACTTTAACTCTTGATCTGAATCGATTCAACCAACAGAGCTCCGTAGATCGTAGGGAGAAGGTAAAAATTTGTATTTTTCTTTTCTTTCTTCTCTCTCTTTCTCTTCTAACTTGTCACACCCGATAGAAATGGGGAGAAATCAGATATTTCTC